CACTGCACCTATAAATTCCCCCTTCCATTCCACCAAATCCCACACCACTCCATTCTTCTTCCTCTATTCCTCCCACCACTCTTGAAGAAAAAAAAATATGCTCTGTGGTTGCGGCTAAGCCCGATCTTCCGCATCAGATTTTTTTTCTTTAGTTTGGTACTTCTATCACTCAAAATTGTCGAGATGGATCCGAGTATTTACGATCCTAGATTATACATTCAAGGCGGACCGTGAGAAACCGATTTGTTGGATGAGCAACCTTACCATCGGTCTGAAAGTGTTTGGGCGGCAGATCCGGTAAGACTTCCTCTTGTACTTTTCTTTTTTTAAATGTGTGATAGTATTCTTCTAATTTTTTTGTATAATAATTAATATATTTTTTTCTACAGGAACACCTTGACGTAATCACCCATCGGTCGCTATCTCGCTTGCCTAAATGGGATGATCGTATCGAGCCCTTCATTGAAAGAGCATGATTGCTGAGGGTGCAAAAGTTTGTGGGGATGGAGATGGACAACAACCTTCTTACGGCAATGGTGGAAAGATGGAGAAAAGAAATGCACACATTCCACCTTCTAGAGGGAGAGATGACGATTACGTGGAAGGACGTAGCCATGCTAACAGAGCTTCCAATCGATGGTGATGCAATAATAGAAAGTTCACAGAAACCATTGAATGGTTGGGACCAATTTATAAGCGAGCGTTTAGGTATCAACATCCCCGAGGAGGCACAAGAAGGTCGTCGTGTACCACCTCTACACAAGTCTATGCTATTGATACCTTGGCTAGTGAGGACCGTTGGGGAATTACCGGAGGATGCCACGGATGCTCAGATAGAGAGGTATGCTCGCATCTACCTTATTTTTTTTTGTTGGAGGATTTTTGTTTCCGAACAAGTCTGGTGGAAATATGCATTGTATGTGGCTTCGAGTTCTTTTGGAAGATTGGGACGAGATTGGGAGAAAAAGTTGGGATCTGCTTGTTTGGCGATGATATATTCGGAGTTGTGCAAGTGTACGGATCCGAAAACAAAGCAAGTGGGTGGTCCCATGTTCATCCTCCAACTATGGGTTTGGGAGCAACTTCCTACTTTCGCTCCGATCTGCCCTGCCAACAGTTGGGGTCCCGATGAGCCACTACGACAATAGGCTTATGGTGCTAGATGGATTGGAGCTATCACGAGACTCACCTCTCTAGACGGGTACCGCCAACATCTTGACCGTATAGAATTCAACGAGGTAACATTCTAGCTTATGATTATGAATGCTAATTTATTTGTTGAAGTTATTTGTCTTAGCCCATGATTTATTTATACGATTATGAATAAGTTTTTATTTGTTGAAATTATTTGTCTTAGTCTTAGCCTATGATTTATTTTTATGATTATATTCTATTTTATTTGTTGAAATTATTTGTCTTAGCCTATGACTTATTTTTATGATTACAAATTCTATTTTATTTGTTGAAATTATTTGTCTTAGCCCATTATTTACTTTTATGATTATGAATCATATTTTATTTGTTGAAATTATTTGCTTCGATTTTAATTTATATGTTGTGTTGAAACTTAGGTGGAGTCGGATCCGTATCCCAACAGAGCAAAGGATTTGTACGAGTTGCGATACCCTGAGGATCGTCGACTCTGGTCGTGCAAGTTGCCTGTGATTTGCCACAACATTGTCGAGTGGCACCTCCCGGATAGATGTGTCCGACAATATAATTGGGCCCAACCGATTCCTCTCCCACCACCGGACGTAAATAAGTCACTCCACAAGTACAGCATGGATCTGCGGGGTACAATAAGTGATTGGCCAACCAAGCACCATAGATGGATTGAAATGTGGGAGTCTCGTCAGACGTATGCAATTGATGGGTCCCAATGATGAGGCCAGTGGGGTACCAAGATGAATACATGGTTTGGTACCGCAAGTTCACAAAAAGATGGGTAACCAAACGTGGCGCCGTGATCGGTTCATTGGTAAGCACAATATCTATTTACTATAATCACTTTAGCTACACAAAGAGTGTTTGACTAACATGTTTATTATTTAGGTTGATGGGTTGGAACTTGCATCAATGACGTTGGAGAATGAACCAGAACAAGATGTGCTAGCTGAGAAAATTTCATTCTTGAAGAAGCTCTTCAAGAATCTCTTGTCATGTTCGCAGGAAATCCGAAGGGATGTCATTGCATATCCTCCTGCACCTGCACCGCCACATCCTTCCTCCCATGCCATTGAAGTTGAATCTCTCCTGCCATCACCACCAAGGAGGAGTAAACGTCGGCAAGAGCCAGTTACAGTCCCTATGCACGTAGAGTGCCCTTGTATTTGCCGGTCAGAAAAGTGCCATCAACTTGGATTATTGGCAGACAATGGGTGAAACCATCAATGCATGGTTTGAATGCCCAAAATAGTCGCTTAAACACTCGTTTAGCACCCCCATAGAAATCTTCGTAACTAGGCATAAAAACGGACCCAGGATTCTTGTCCACCATTGCAAGAATCAAACGAGGCATGTTAGCAAATGACTCTTCCCAATCACCATACACCTCTGCCATAGCTTTTTGCTTCCCATGCCATGCTTTCTTGTAACTGATGGTATAGCCATGTCGATTCTTCACTTCAGCGATGAAACTCTTCACGGTGATCCCAGGTTGTGCCTCAATCAAATGTTTGATTGTTTGTGCAACCTTCCTTGCACTCAATTGTCGGTGATCTAGAGAAATTAGTGACGACCTACAAGTGTGGTTGTTGTCTGTCTTACGAATGAGCCAAGCCCCATTTCTTTTAACATATGCCGCCCGAACATGCCACATGCATCCGTCGCCATGGTTCTCACAACGAACATGAATTTGTTTAGTGTCAGAAGTGATGACATGATATTGAAAGCTTCTTCGCATAGCAGTTTCTTTCAATGCATCGACCACCTGAGGCTTTCCTCCAAATGTTTGGCCAACCATGAATCCAGAGTCAGGAGTCCAGATTGGTATAGGAGGGAGGTCAGGATCGTCGTTGTGAGCATAGAGAGGATGTTGTGGCACCATCGTGTAGCGAGGTGTGGGTGGCTCAAATTCCCCCTCATCAACTTCCAGATCTTCACCATCTGAACTACTCATTGATTCTAACTCTTCATCTTCCACGTCGCTTGCCTCGCTAGTGTAGGGAGGACTTGGTTTATCCACATATGGATCATTGTTGATGCCAGATGCTGGTGTAGATGCTTGTCTGGGTGACTGTCTGGGTGCTCTTATGTAATCCCATTCTTCACCCAATACTGGCCACTCCTGTCCGTCATGTTCCATCAATGGACCAGTTGCAGTTCGATCCTCGTATGTTGGCCATGGTGCATCATGCCGGACTCTGAAATCTCCTGAACCGGAAAATCCTCCCGTTCCTTCACCTTGTTCGGTATAACCGCCGCCACCATATTGGCCAAAAACTTCTATCTCGACATACACCTCAGCAATTGAAAATCTGTTCTCTACAATAAATCTCACCATCATATTAATGTCATCATCGTCAGACAAAACTGATCCTTCATATACAAGTGCATAATCCTTGTAAACCGGCATACGGTAAGTCATCTTGCATACTCTTCGCCCTCCTATGCAACATCGTTCCGCACAAATATGACTGAGTTCTTGCCAAGTAAATATGCTCTCAATCCGGACAATACTTGATTCACCATCTTCGTAGTCAATACTATCATGAAAATGTGTAATTCGACCATTCTACCGAATCTTTAAGTCGAATTTTAGAAATTTTCTACCCATTTCTGCAGTTTATAGAAGCAGCTCATTACATACAGTACAAACAATACTAAATTAATCCAAAATTCTAATATGCTCATTCAAACAACGTAAGCAGAACTTACCTCCAAAATTTTTCTTCTTTGCTCAGTTATGGTGATCCAGCAGCTGCAGTTTGTGTTTGGAAGAAAGAAGATAGAAAGGAAGAGAGCTGCCAGAATGTGCTAAGTGATGGCTTTTTATCCTCGTAAACTGATGGAGTGGTTCGAGTCCAAAAAACTCGAACTACACTAGTTCGAGTCCATTAAACTCTATCTAGGGCAACCAAAAATTTTACCCCTGCACCCTATTCTGGAGCATGTCGGACCGAAAGCGACTAGACAGAATGATTGAGGAGTAGTTCGAGTTCAGTGTAATCGAACTACACTAGTTTGAGTCCCTAAAACTCGATCTATGACAACAAAGAATCTTATCCCTGCAACCCTATCCTGAAGCATGTCGGTGGACCAGTGGTTCGAGCCCATTGGAATCGATTTTGGTTGTTCGAGTCTTAACGCATCGATCTTGTGCAGATATGGATCAAGTGCTTTAAAGTCGTTGTACTACATCGAAGTTTTTGGCATCGATCTAACTGGATCGAGTTGTCCATACTCGATCTACTATGATCGAGTCCTTTGTCATCGTTCTACTTTGATCGATTTCTCCAAAATCGAACTAATGTTGATCGAGTTTTAGGAACTCGATCTGATTTCAGTTTGAGTTTTTTATCATCGAACTGGATAGTAATTCGAGTTTATGGGACTCGAACCCTTTGAAACTTGGGTAGTTTGGGAAAATTTTATAAAACTTATGTATTCCGGGAATTATGTTTAATTTTTAAGGTATTCTGGGAATTCTTCCCCGGTTCAATGCGGCGCTGCAGGCATTGAGATCAGTTGCTGAGAGGTACGATGCGAGCAATGTCTGTGTTGCAGGTCACTCCCTAGGAGCTGCCCTTGCTCTACAGGTTGGCAAGGTGTTGGCTAAAGAAGCCATCTTTGTGGATGCTCATCTCTTCAACCCGCCTTCTGTGTCTCTCGCTATGAGCTTCAGGAACATGGGGGAGAAGGCCGAGTTCGCATGGAAGAGGTTGAAGGCAATGCTTCCGTATGCTGCTGCTGAAACTCCAGCTGCTGCCACAGTCCTTGAGGGGTAGAATGATTCTTCTGGCTCGAGGAACTGGGTTCCGCAGTTTGGGGACAAAACATCCATGGGATCGAAGAAATGGGTGCCTCATTTGTATGTGAATAACAACGATTATATATGCTGCCACTACACTAGCCCAGAAGGAAACGACGGAGGCAACGAAAATAAGGAGAATGTGAATAGTAGCGGAGCCGGCGGCAACCACATCGGGCAGGTTTCAGCGAAGCTGTTTGTGATGGCAAAGGAGAAACAAAAGTTTCTTGAAGCTCCTGGGCTGGAGCAATGGTGGTCCGACGATGGGCAACGCCTGAAACTATGCCTCCCAAATAGCAAGCTCATGAGCAGGCAGCTTAAATCACTATATACCCTACCAGCTCAACCAACACAACCCAAGCTACAACAACAATAACACCAAAGAGTTGGGTGGGTGTTTTTACATGTTTTTATCAAGTGTCCAGATCCGATACAAAGAAAATTATATCTAAGAAGGTATACCGCATGATAACATCCCATATTAGTATAATCTCCTGATCTGATTACAGGAAGAAAAGAATTGAGTTAGCATACTAGACATGAAGTTTCAAGTGTACATATGAAATTTCAACTTAATAAACGCTATGTGATCTTTAATGAAGCTTACCTCAAAATTTCACATATCATACGAGCTCTTGTCTTGACAGGATCAAATGGAAACAGAGTACAGTATAATTACGGTTGTCGAGACCTTCTAACATTCTCCGTAAATGAAGAGCCCAACTGAATCATAAGGGGATATACAGGGCTGAATTCTTTGTCCCCTCTGGACCTTTGGTGCATAGTCGTTTTGGGAGGCTTTAGCACCTTTCCATTGGAGACATTTCAGCACAAATCTGCAAGAAAATCCAAGTCTAACCATAGCGGCATTGATCGCCTCTGGCCCAAGCCCATGGAAGTTTTGGGAATATGCTTTGTTTCGTCCCCAAGTCATGAAATTCGAATCTCGATAGTATCAGGACACTGTTGGCCGCGTATCATAACACTGCAAAACTTACAAATTTACTTTGCACAAACTCGTGCAAGGAGCCTCTTGGCTTGAGTGGAGATCGAAACGGCATTCATATGAGGGTGCAGTTAAGGAGATGCATTCATCATCAATGGTCGTACAATCCCTCTCTCTTATGTATCGCTAGTTCAAATTCGTTGTTAAGGATGTGAATTCTATTGATTCTTTATGCATCTTGTTTCTAAGATTTATTGAGATGCTTTGGTCATTATATTATATGTCTATATCATTAGATGCTTTAGTCATTTGATGCTTATACCATCGAATGCTTTAGTTGTTTAATGTCTTAGTCATGCAATGCTTATATCATCTAGTATGTGCTACTATGGTAGTTTTTATAATGTCGTGTTAACTGATAGGAAACTACTCTTATGTGATTTGTGCTATTGTCTTATGCGTGTATTGAGTGGAATGATCAACCCTTGTATAAGTTCAATGCTTGATACTTTGGATCATCAATGTTATAAGCAATTACTATGGTTCATAGATGCACTAAGTAGTTAATGTGCTCTCATTACTTCCTTGTTTGATTGATTAGTAAATCACAAAGCAAAAACATGCATTAGCTACTTGTAGTTCCTTTTGCATGTGGCAAAAGCTCAATTAGGAATGTTTTAGTGGAAGGAAAATGGTTAGATGATAGAAGATACATTGATGCATACTATTAATGAGTCTGAGATGTATGATCATGTAGGATGAATTTTCTTATCAATTGTGTATCCTTTACTTATCTTGTCATTTACTTTATGCTTTATTTATCTATGTTACATCTCAAAACCACTAAAGATAGGGAACCTCAACCCATCAATTCTTGTTGTGTCTTTGTTTGAGCATGAGTGATTGGTTATGAGTAGATGTTATTAGAAGATATTGTGGAATATGACGCAAGACATATTTAGAAATTTATTACTTTTGTTGCATTAATAGTACTACATACATGCACATCAAGTTTTTCGCGCTATTGCGATGCTAAGAAGAGAAACAAAAAACCAAAGGATCGTGCAAGAGATCATCAAGGAAAGAGAAACATCGAGTTCAACCTTGCTGAAATCTAAAGAAGGGACATTTAGCTCAAAAGAGGAGGACGCTTCATGAAACACTCATCTCGAGTTGATCTCTCGAGTTGGAAGAAGGAAATTGGCGAAGATTGCAGCTTTCATCTTTGAGAAGAAGCATCCTCTACCTCGTCTTCCACATCAGCTACGATGAGAGAAGAGTAAAGAATGATGGTTCCACCTACTCTATATGAGTATTGAGGGCCAAGGAAAAAAATATTCTCTCCCAAGGCTCATATAATTATAAGTTCAACTTCTCCCACAAGGTAAGATCATATTAGACTTTGAGTTCTATGTATATTTTGGTAATTGTTTTCATTTAACGCCTCTAAAAAAACAGAAAACCCTGAGACACAGTGGTTTGCAACCATATAAAACAAGTCTACAATATTATTCATAGATCAGACCAAGTATTGGGGTGGGCAACAATCCGGATTGGACCAAACTCCATTCAAATGGTGCGGTAGAAATGAACCACGCCTTATTTTAAACACGAACTACTTAATCATTAATTATCTTCCTATGATATATTGGAGAACCATTTCCTACAATTCTCATGGAGTATTAGTGATTAATTGCTAAATTTGCAACCAAAATTGATTCTTCCTTGCAAAGAACATAGGTTAATTTGCTTTTTCCCATGTTATTGCTACTACTGATCTATTGATTTCAGACTATATGATCTCCATTTTAGATGTAACCAAACTTTTCACATGATTATGCTTATGAAGTTCTTTGTTCTTTTCAATGTTGTATATACAGTTACTCTTTTATAATTTCTCTTGACAATCTTTTGAAAACATAGACAAATTGTCAAATTTGCCCAAAATGGCCACACACCAGGCAAAAAAAATCCCAGTTGTAAAGCGCTGGCTAAATAGCTAGTTAAATTTAATTGGAGAAAATATGCACAATCAAGTAATCTGACCAGGTCTGCTCCTTACTTCTCACTCACATCGACTCTGTCAACCAAGATTCCAACTCAACTTAAACAAATTTAACCAACTCGTATCTGGTTCTTATTTGTGCACTCTTGCTGACAAATGCCCCAATGGACACTGTGATTCAAACACTATTGTATTCATTAACTTATAACTTAGCGTACGTGTCCTTGTTTGTTATTATATAATTACAGTGATCGAAGATTACTACAAATTACACAACCATCAAATGAACGGTTGATAAACAGGAAACGTTTGGTTGTGGTGGAATGCAACACAGCAATCCAGATTCAAGCAGTCACTGGAGTTGGCACCGCCGGGGGAACCCTGTTCTCGATGGGGATTTCGACGAATTCGGACAGGATTGCCCGGAACTCATCACCCGTCATTGTTTCCTTCTCAATGAGGACTTCAACAATCTTGTCCATTGCCTCACGGTTGTTCCTGATGTGGGAGAGTGCAATCTGGTATGCACCATCTGAGAGCCTCTTCACAGCACTATCAATGTCTTCGGCTAGCCTCTCCGACATCGAGTTCCTTGCCATCATTCTCATGATCATATCCCCACTCTGGGCCGATGAGTCCATCAACGACCACGGTCCTATCTCTGACATTCCGAATGTCACCACCATCTATATATTGAACACAAGTACAAGATTGTTAATAATAGTCATTCCACGGTCTTGCCCAAAACTATAACTAGCAACTAGAGGTAACAAATGGGCCGGATTCATGAATTTGTGGGTAAGGTCAAAATGGATTTCTGAGTTAATGGATCGTTAAGGATAAATTACACCCTTAAGCATTTTATGTCCTTTAGAGGGTGTTTCAGTATGGTATTCTGAAAGCTTATGTACTAAAATGCACTTCCACACAGATTCATCAACCCAACATGCTGACTGGTTCAGTTTAGTCAATCAAGTCAGATGGATGTTTAGTGAGCTTGGGTCGATTGAGCTCTGCACCGCATCAGCAACCCAACAGTGAAACTAAATGTGAGATGAGAGATAGTGAAAAGGGGTACCTGCTTGGCCAACCCGGTAATCTGTTGCAAGTCACCAGCTGCCCCAGTGGTCACCTCAGGCTCACCGAAGATAATTTCTTCAGCAGCTCTTCCGCCAAGTCCACCGACAATTCTGGCAAAGAGTTGCTGCTTGGAGATCAGGGTTGGATCATCACTTGGAATAAACCAAGTAAGACCTCTTGCCTGACCTCGTGGAATTAGGGTGACCTTTTGAACTGCATCATGGCCAGGAGTCAAAGTCCTGAGTAATAAAAGGCACAGGAAACACAGATGTTACTTGGTAAGTCCTCGTGGAATTAGGGCGACCCACTATGTCTATGAACTAAGAAGAGGAGTTATATACACAGATTGCAAATATCTTTGCTTACCCACAAATAGCATGGCCAACTTCATGGTATGCAACAAGACTTTTACTCTTCCCATCTGTCATTACAGTTCCTTCCATTCCAGCAACAATCCGGTCAATAGAATCATCAATTTCTTTAGGTGAGATTGCTGTGTTCCCACGGCGACCAGCTAAGATAGCTGCCTCGTTTAAGAGGTTAGCAAGATCAGCTCCACTGAAACCAGGTGTTCTCATGGCTACGACATCGAGAGACACGTCCGCATCAAATTTCTTGTTACTGGCATGAACTTTGAGGATTTCAGTTCTACCACGTACATCTGGAACATCAACACTCACCTGTGCATTCCAGCAAGCTCGCATAAGTACTTTACAATAACAATTGAAGGGATAAATACCATAATTTTTAGTGAACAAATGAGGACATCAGTACTATATACCTGTCGGTCGAACCGTCCTGGTCTCAGGAGAGCAGAGTCAAGAATGTCTGCCCTGTTGGTTGCAGCAACGACAATGATGCCAGTGTTACCCTCAAAACCATCCATCTCGGTCAAAAGCTGATTTAGGGTTTGCTCCCTTTCATCATTTCCTCCACCAATGCCAGTTCCTCTTTGCCTTCCAACAGCATCAATTTCATCAACAAACACAATGCATGGAGCATTCTCCTTTGCCTTTTTGAAGAGATCACGGACTCTTGAGGCACCAACACCGACAAACATCTCAACAAACTCAGAACCGGATATGGAGAAAAATGGGACACCAGCCTCACCTGCAATGGCCTTAGCTAGAAGAGTCTTCCCAGTTCCTGGAGGACCAACAAGAAGGACACCCTTTGGGATACGAGCCCCAACTGCAGTGAATCTCTCAGGCTTCTTAAGGAACTCCACAACTTCCATGAAATCTTGCTTAGCTTCGTCAACTCCAGCAACGTCGTCAAATGTTACACCAGTGTTGGGCTCCATTTGGAACTTTGCCTTAGACTGACCAAATGCAAGGGGGTTACCAGGGCCCCCAGGACCACCCATTCCTCCAGGGGAACGTCGAGAGAGAAGGAAAAGCCCTCCTATCAAGATTAAAGGAAAAGCTAGATTTCCAATCAAGTTAAAAAGGAAAGAACCAGAGTCTTCTTGTGCATTGTGAGCTGCAAAGTCAATATTCTTTTCTCTGAATTTCTGAAGAAGTTCTTGGCTAAGGCCTGGAAGCTGCACACGAACGCGTTGCACCCGATTACCCAACTCAGGCGAAACAGCCTCCACAATAGCAATTGTCCCATTCTCAAACAAGTCCACCTTTTTCACTCTATCCTTATCCAAATACTCCAAAAACCTGGAATAAGACATCCTGGATGAAGAAACATCTTGATCGTCAGCAAGAGCTTTCCCATTTCCAAGCAATGCAGATCCTCCAAGTCCCGCATTCCCCAACAAGAGCTTCAGAAAATCTCTTCTTCTACCAAGCTGCCTTCTGTCCAAAGATGCCTTCACCAATAATGCTTTTGATGATGTGTTGCCCAATGAAGGAAGACTTGAACTGGGAAGAATGCTTCTGCCATAGAAATTTGTTGGTTTCGCGTTTATTGTTGACAAACCATTCCCTAAAAGGCAAGCTGATGATGCTGACATCTGTATATCAAAAGAAGTCAGATATGTACCAATGAGAAACATGATAAAAGAATTAGCAAGAACACAAACAAACAAGCTATATAATTTGGTATATTGAAATTCACTGCTGCTGCTGGTAACAAATCATGCAGAAAACACACTTCTCAACTGAATAACCTGACAAGAAAGAACAGTCAGCCTTAGCTAGCTGGTTTCGGCTGATTAGAGAAACAACAACCATACATTTGCAGTCCAGAGGAAACAACTAATACTTGAAAGCAGTATATTCCTGGAGGTTTATTATTTAAATAAATGAAACCTTTTGGTGGATCCGCTTGCTATGCTGCGAAAACTATATTAGAGCCACCAAATATTTACAGAGACCCCACAACTTAGGACCTATAATTACGAAGTTTCAGCAGAACGATTCTCAAGAACACAACCGACATACAAGACACTAATTATCAAATGGAAAGTGGAAACAGAATGAGTCAATGCAAAATTAACCTCCAGCAACTTGACGGAGGTGTAGAGGGAGTGACAAGAAAGGGCAGCTGACAAAGAAACTCCCCATGGGCATCATTACACAAGTTGCAGGAACAAGTAAGAACATAGTGCGATTGGAATCTGGCCCTATATTTCATCTACTGACAGCTGCTAGAGTTCGCCGGTTTGGCTATTCATATTCAGTTCAAAAATTTCAACCTCGCATCGTCATTTTAAGATACAATATGGGAAACTAGGAAATGGGTTTCCAGCTTTCATCCAAATCAGTCAACAAAAAAGAATTCAGCGGCTAGCAAACACAGAAGCGGCAGAGCAACAAGCAACTAACCAACGCCACTTGGGAGGAATATGACTATAGAAGAAGGGAGGAAGAGCAGTACCTTTAGAAGCAGAGGACAGAAGCTTAGAGTGGTTGCAACGGACTACGGAGGAAATAATGGTGGGAATCCGAGGGGAGAGCAGTCTCAGGTTTTGTTAACTAGAGAAGGGATGTGGCTGAGAGAACGGAAGGCGTGGCTCATTTCATTTCCAATGGCTGGTTTGTCCCATCCTCGCGTGTAGACGTAGTGGATATTTCTGCTGGCCGGTTTTCCCCATCTTCCCTTTTGCGTACTCATCTCCAATCTGAAAGCCTATTTCACGACCCTAGATTTTCAGATTAATCGCCGATAAAAACACCAAAATTACAACCGCCTTGTTGACCCGACCCGAATCCACCCGAAAATAGAAATTTTTATGACTCGAAATCCAAATGATCCGATCTAATTAATTCGTGAGTTTTTGGGATTGGGTGGGTTAGCGGGTCCATCCGTTAGTCCCGTTCCATTTTATATGTCACTCCCAAAAAGATAAAATCATTGGTAAATCAGTGAGATGTTTAAAAACTTCACAAGGATTTGAAAGACATATTTGCAGTTTAAGGATAATCAAATATCATGGGTTTCTTGTAGTAGTATTACTCTTGTGATTGTTTTTTTTATGATTTGTGCAATTTGTATTTCATTCATTGGCATGGAAGGATTTGAGAATATGTTAATTGACATGTCATAGATAAACTATTTCAATGCATCTCTGAATATTTGTATTCTTTAAAAAAATATGAAGCATGTTTGATATTGTTACTGAGAGCGCTCACAACCCGAAAAGACTTGTAACCCGACCCAAATCGTAGCCCCCACTGCCCTCTTCGCCAAGCTGTCGACCCACGTCGCCCTCTGCTCCTACCTCTACGCAACCAGCTGTCGAACATAACGCTAGAAGAATGACTCTTCGCCAAGCTGTCGACCCACGTCGCCCTCTGCTCCTACCTCTACGCAACCAGCTGTCGAACATAACGCTAGAAGAATGAAGGCGTCGCCCGAGCCCCGACTAGGCGCTAGGCAGACCATTAGGCATTCATAATGCCTAGTAAATTGACTAAGACGTTATTAATCAGAGCTAGGCGGTCTGTCCACTCTACAAGCATCATCGTCTACTTTACAGCTTCAGTTCTTCTCCGTCCTGCTCAATCTCATCCCTTGTCGTTGATTATTCTCTTGTTCACTCTCAGGCACCGACCCTCTCCCCTACTCTTCGGCAGTGGCTAATTGTCATCCAGACACAATCCCATAGAAGGCGGCATGGTATTGGTTATTCCCTTCTTCACATCAACCCTCTCACTATTTTACGATAAGTTCATCATCTCTACTACTTGGTCATTCATAAGTTTGGCTTTCTCTCCCATTACCCTTTTCTCTATTGATGTTGATGCCCGATTTATGCAAACTTTTGTTTCATGAACTTGTGTTCTAAACTTTCTATGAAGTTGTGATTCTAATTGTTATAAGTTTGTGTTTATCATTCTAGAAAATCTTATATATTTACTTATTGATCAGGGTTAGTTAAATTATAAATTAATCATTTGAAATTGAGTGTAAGTAAAAAACTGTTGTAAAATTGTTATGATCGCTTAAAATGCCAAGGCGTTCTATCGCCTTTTTCAATCTTGTAAATGTAATAATATAATTGGCATGCGAATTGATAATATAATTAGCATATGAGAAGTATATTAAAAGTATCACATTTGATAAAATGTAAAACTTAACTAACCTTACGGTACCTTTTCCAACCCTCCCTCCTTATCTTAACTAAGCTTATGGTACCTTTTCCAACCCTCCCTCTTGTGCTTGAAAAGTTTGTTAGCGGATGTAGCAAAGAAAATGTGTGTTGAATGTTGTTTGTGATTGGTTGTGTTTTGGAATGTAGGAATGTGTGGCCATTGGTTGTTGTGAGTGGTCTTGTTTTGCTTTGATAGGTTCTAGGTGAATTGTGGAACCTCATGCTACACGTACCACCGCCCAAAAAGCCTTTTCTCCACATCTAAGACCCTAGCCAGTCATCTGAACTCAGTCATTTGAACTCATGTCTAAGACCTCCGAACAAACTAGTAGTGACATCCATCTTGTGAATTCTAGCATTTAGAGGCTACCATCATGGTGAAGAGACGATAGGGCTGGGAGTTTTGAAACAAACCACACCCTCAAAGACATTTCTAAATTCATCTTACTTTCATTCACTAGTCTCTGTGCTAGAACACGATCTAGGGAGGCTAGTGTAGGGGCTATGATGGATGTCCTTGGCATTAAAGATTGAAATACCCTTTGAATCCTCATTATGAGTATTTGCTCTTAATAGCCAAAAGGGACCACGTCGTATCTTCATTATGAACAAAAATCCTACCATGATAAGTCTACTTAAAAGAGGCTGCCACCACAAATAAGTATGGGGAAAATCCAAGTGTGAGGAAACCTCTCATTGCATAAAATAAGGTTTTGGAAGAGATACTATTTCACTCTTAGTGGGGCATTCCTATGAGATTATGCTAGTTCCTCTCTGGTACGAGTAAAAGTCCACACGCAAAGAGAATCGTCAACTTGAGGATGTATTTTCAAGGGCACAGATAAAGCTTATGAAACCCCTTGATTTCAATGACCCTCTGCACCATCTAGATAAAGGAGTTAAACGTATACCCTTATGCGAGTGCTAAGGTTCGATTTTTTTTTTTTTGTTCGATTAGGCTGCTAAATACCAATGTATGAAGCAAAAGAACCCCACTTGAGATGTAATAGGTAGGGATGCAGTAAATGAGACTTTCGTAAAGTAGAGGCAAACATGAAAGAGTGCTTGAAGCTACATGTGTTGTGGCCCAAAATTTTGAAAGTTCTAAACTTTGAGGAAATTACTCAGGATCGCATAAAGGCAATACATTTTGCCCCTACAAGTACGCTTTAGGCACCATTGCAAATGTCAAAGTTCTGTAAGTGTGAGGGTTGACCTTGTAAGCTTCTTATTAACCACTACCAATGATTGGAAGTCGTGTAGCTAGTGAGCTATATGATTTTGAGTTTTGGTTTGTTAGGGGATAGCACAAAGCCTAAGTGTGGGGGAGTTTCGATAACACAAGTAAAGCACCAATCGTAACACTAAACTCTTAAGTTGCATGGTTAATGTTAAGATCCATACTCTTCGACTCAAGCTGATAGCCATCATGGATTCACCATTTTCACCCGACTCCTTTGAAGTTAACAAAGTAGATACCTAAATGTTTCTAATGGAAAAACTGGCTTTTGATGCTTTGGTTGAGGGCAAGCAATGGCTTAAGTGTGGGGGTATTTGATACCACATAAATTATACATGTTTTTAGATCCCATTAAAGCCCCTCTACTTGAAAAATGTTGGTAATAATCCTTTGTTTCTGCCACTTTTATGCTTGGTTTGTGATTCTTGTCTTGTGTGTTTCATGTCATGAAGAATGATTACATTGATATGTGGATGGGGAACAGTCAAAGTACGGAATAGTGGGAGCTTTAGGGCATCTATAATGCACTTGGACGAGTTTCTCGAGGATCCTACGGCTAGCCCCACGTCCAAGGCCCAAATCATGAGAAATAGATGGGAATTCGTCTCGAATAAATTCATGTCAAGCGATTCACAGTTGTGCCCACGGTCGTGACCCAGGCCGTGAAGGAATTTTGAAGACCGCTACAAAGTGATGCCGAAGAGAATTAGTGATCAGGCTAGGGTTTAGCTCATGGTTTATCTCATGATCGTGACCGCACCCGTGAACGACCTTCTGCCCTGCTTATTTAAGCGTCTCTAAGAAGATTGAAAAAGGGAGTTTGGCATGAAACCCTAATATCGACCAAAAACGAGTTAGAGAGAAGGATAGGAGGTTTTCCATCCATTCTACATTGAAGGATTCATCTTGGATCATCCGATCAAGTCACCATGATGGAAATCAGTTCTTCTTTTTATCCTTTGTTCGTTTTCCCCTTAACCATGAACTAGCTTAAGACGTTAAAAAAGTGTTGGTTTGGAGGCAACCCAATGTCGGTTCGTATTTCTTTTCCTTATTTTTCTCTTTTCATTTGAGTGTTTGAGTCAAGTGGTTGAGTTTTGAACGATCACCGTTCCATGGCTTATGTGTTTGACTGTTTGAATGTGTCGTGTTTGAGTTAGAGGCACAATTGATTCAATTGAGTATTGAGAATTGTGGGGTTTCTTATTTTTGGTGTTTATCACGGCTTCAGTGATATTATCACACTCACGAGACCGTGATAATTTCCCCTAGACCATGATGTCACTAGGATTTCCCACAATTTGAACTCTTCATGGTATGAGACAAATTATCACGGGCATCAGCCCGTGATATTATACTGACCGTGATGTCGGCCCAAAACTCACCGTTTTTTGCCAAGATCACATTCAGCTTGTTATTATCACATTCAGCCGAACGTGATAATTAACCCCCACACGTGATCTCGACCCTCGGTATATAGCCCGTGATCTCTCCCCCTTCACGAGACACAGACCATCGGAAACCTTCTGAATGTCTTGCTGGAAAACATCACCTCTAATAGTTTTTCGACGTTTTGATCCAATTTCGACAGTCCAAATTAGAAACCAAACACATATCCAGACTCCTTTATCCTACGCTCCCCTTCACTGTGATTTTGGGGGAGTTTGGCTCGGTTTTTATCGCCGCAAAGTTGCTCCGGGGAGACTCCAGCAAGTTTCACGCGAAGCTCCGGTGACCCCCGCCGGCCACTTTTTCGGCCAAATTTTGACTCCATCCCCTTCTTCTCACCTTCCTCTTTGGTCCTACTTGAGTCTCCATGTGTGTTTATATCTTTTACTTGTTCAATTTTGGAGAATCAGATCTAGGGTTGTTACATGAGGAGAATTGGAATTATGCATGAATGGTGAAATTGAATGAGGGGTTTGATGAATGATGATGTGTTGCATGCCATTAGAGTGTTAGATGGGATTCTTATGCATTGGTGGGCTTGATTTTGCATGTTTTGATGATTGAATTGAGGAATGCCCACCAAGTGTTTGCTTAATTGTCGATCCTTTTATGCACTTTTATATATGCATGTTGAATAGTGGTCATCAAGGCATGATCTAGACTTGTAATTGCAACCTTTATGATCTATGAAACACCTAATTTCGTGTCTTGATGTATTTGTGGATTGTTTGAGATTAATTGTTATTAAACCGAGGTTGTGAAAAATCTGTGAAGGCATGTTGTCGATGTGCAAGCTTAGGTGTGGGGGAGTTGACTTTCTCCTCGATGTGCATTATTTGATGATCGTTTTCACGTATTGTGTGCCTTTATTGGTGTTTGGCAATAGCGCACCCCACTGGTGTCATTTGCTTGAGATTGGGGATGACATCTTTGCAGAACTCTGTGTTGAGTTTTACAGCACTTTCGCCCTATCAAGATAAAGGATATTCAGGCCACCGTGACTCTGGCATCAT